ACATATGCTTGTGTTATTGTGTCTCTGTTTGACTAGTCTGTATGTAAAAGTGAATTTTATAGCGTAGTTATATCACTATATCAAGGTCTATTCATTTTGGTTTGTTGAAGATAATGCTGTCCGCCTCAGCAAATGAAGTTGTCAAAAGCAGAAGTACTTTTTTATAAGCCTGAGTGTTGGATAGATATCTTTGACAGCCTTTCATTTTATTTCTCTCATTTTCATATATTCTACATTCCACTGACGCCTCACGATTTTTATTCTTTATGTGTGCCTGACAGGAAAGTACCTGCATGTGTGATGTAGACAAAACCACATGTTGGTTGAATTCTAATACAGATGTGATCAGAAAGGATTTAAAAGACAAATATGTTGATATTATATAGTCCCTTTACTGTTTTTTTTAATGTAGGTTGTATTCATACATTTGGAAACTGTTTAGTTGAGTTTCAGGTATTCTTTGACCAAATCAGGGTCAAATGCCAGCAATTTATTTAGCAGGACTACGTATAACTCGTAACGCAAAACTGGCTCTGTCTTCACCTGCGATTCTGCTACACTCCTGATGGAGTTTGTCTATTACAGACTGATTGAAAATCCTCCCCAGTGTTTATTGCTCTGTGTTGGAAATTGACATGCTGAGTCGAGTTGATGAGCACAGGGAACTGGGCTTTGCCTTTTAATATGAGAGCTTTGCACTTCTGTTTCTACATAATGCGGTGTGCTACATTTTGTTAAGTTTATTGTATTAGAATTGTAGCAATTAAGGATAATTAAAATTACAACTGTCCTTTTTTATACTACAGCTAGTAGCCCTAAGAGTAATACAGAGAGTTAATAAACCTAGAAGATGTGGTTTGGGTATGACAGGTATGTGGTTATTAGAAGCCTGCAGATATTTAACTCATTAACTTTGGGATCAGACACAATTGAATCACATAAAGAAATCTAATTTTTCAGATGTACACATGTATGCTTTCAGCATCATGCCACGTCGAGACAGGAGGGTTTGCGGTGTGTCGATATAGACATGCGTAGACGCGTTAGACACACACGTATACCAACATGCAAGTAAGATCACACTCGCGTGCTTTGAGGTTTTGATAATTAGAATCTTTGCTGCAGTGGGATAATAAGAACTCTATTAACACTGATTGATTTTTTTAAGGCCTGTGCTTGCATAACTACCCATTATGAAACCAGATAGTTATCGACCGCATAAAGATGAATTATGCAACTGGTCTTTACTAACTAATAATTTATATCTTCACATTAACCCATCTTTGTTTATGCACTTAGGTATATACACAAAAAACTAGTTCATGATGATTTAAACTTTGTGACATGGTGCATTATCCTGCCGGAAGCAGCCAATCAAATATGTGGTCATAAAGGGATGAACGTAGTCAGCATCAGTACTATTGTAGGTAGTATAATGTATTTATAGGTAGGTTGTGGTATTTAAAAGATGCTCAGCTATATTCAGTTGATATTAGGAGGCCCAACTGTGCCAAGAAAATTTTCCACCACGCCATTATACCACCAGCACCCTGAGCCTTTGGTACAAGGCAGGATGGATCCATGCTTTATGTTGTTCACATCAAATTCTGACCCAGCAATCCAAATGTTGCAACAGAAACAGTCTCATCAGATCAGGCAACATTTTTATGATCTTCTATTTTCCAGTTTCCAATTTCGAGCTCATGCAAACTGTAAGGTGCCCCTCCTGCTAGCTTTTAGCTGACAGGCGTGGCACCTGGTGTGGTCTTCTGCTGCTATCACCCATCTACTTCAAGGTTTAACATGTGTTCAGAGATGCTCTTCTGTATACCTTGCCTTTCCTAGGTTGTTGCTTTTCTGTCGCCACAAGGCAGTGCATCTTAACAAATATAAGATATTATATCATATCATAGTAAAAATAGCCTTTTAGCAGTCTGGTTAAGGTAATTAAAACAATACAAAAAACCTGTTGTCATATTTAAAAGCACCGTGCCTATATCGTCCACTATCTGTCCCTCCTATCTTCTAAGCAAAGAGTCATTTTTGAGGTTCCATTTTAACACTTGACCAAAAAATGTCATGTGATTTGTTGTCAAATGTTTTTTGTCATGTGTCCACATTTGTATGCAAGTGTGTGTGTGTAAGAGAGTGTACTGTTCACATCAGCTATTGTGAGTCTAGTGCTATGCATGTCATACCGCTTTGGTTTTGGTTGTTTATGTATACGGCATGTAATGATGTCATCCAAAGCAATTCCTCCACCTCTTCATCATCTCTTCTACTCTGATTGGGAGATGCGATAGATGAGAGGAGTAATCAGTGCCACATCTCCTCAAGTGATGAAAAGGACCTGAAAAAGGGAGAAGAGTGTTTATCATGTTGTGATTCACGAGAGGGTGAAAGCTACAAGAAAATAAAATAACATATACAACATTTGGTTGTAATTAAGTGGTCATATGGAAGCAGTGAGACCCAATTTGGAGAAAACAAAGACAGAAAAAGAAAGGTGGAAAATATAACACATCTGTCCAAAAAGGTGTTTCTTCTGTCCTTAGATGTTGATTCTAAGGACAGTGTTTAGATTGAAGAGTCGCTTTAATTATGTGGAAAAGTTAGAACTGCAGTGCAAAAGTGTGAGATGATTTGAAGAGACCGTGAAGAGAAGAGCATTATGTGAGAACTTGTTCATGATAAAAAAAACAGGCAGACGATGCAGAGAGAGAGGGACGCACAAGCTGCCTGACAGACAAAGAGATACACACATACAAAGACACGCACACAAACACAGGCAAAGGTCACACAGCCAGTCCTGCCACTCGGTGCTCAGTCAAACTGGTGGTAAAATGCTCTATTTCCCATCCAAATTAAAGTGTCAGTTAACATTAATGTGGAAGTGAAGACTGTCAGGCGCACAACATGCAGGCACACAAACACGCAAACAGCATTTACCCTCATGTGCACAGACACAAATACAGAATTTAGAATCTTGGCTGGTCAATTACTCTCCGCCGATGGTGTCATGCACACAGGTCACAAAGGAATGTGCGTGTGGTTGTGTGTGCATGTGTGTGCATGCGTTTGTGTAAAGCTCTGATCAGACCCAGTGTCACAGCTCATTCCATCTGTCACATGAAGGTTATTTCTGAATGAAGATGCAATTGTGGCGTTCTGTATAATAAGAAGGAGGCGAAATAGCCTTTGGTTGTGTGTACCTGCATATTTGCTGCTATTTATGCATATTTTGTGTGTTTATCTCAAGATGAAAAATTTGTTCCTTGATCTTTTTTTTTGTCTTATTCAGTTGGAATTGTGCTTGCTTGTCTTTAAACCTGTGTGTGTGTGTGTGTGTGTGTGCGTGCGTGCGTGCGTGCGTGCGTGCGTGCGTGTGTGTGTGTGTGTGCGCGCACATGTATGTGGCAGAAGATTACAAACATTTCCTGTGTTTGTCTTCCTGTATCTTGTTGGTGTAAATGGGAATCCTGAGGAGGGAGGGAATAATCCTTATGTATCTCTTTCTTCAACCAACTGGAACATCGCTCTCGCCTCTTGCTAGAGGAGCACACGCACACAAACAAACACAAACACGCTACCCAACCAACCATGAAATCGTAATGTCAGACCTGTTAATGCCTCTAGATAGCAGCCACTGCATCCCTGCGTGGTTTTGCCCGATACACATAAACACACATAAACACACAAATGAATAAACAGAGAGCTATCTGTTACTCTCCGGCAGGAATCTTCTATTCAGCAGTGGCTGGTTGTTAATTCCTACACTCTGGGGATTGCAGGTTGCCTCAGAAAACAGTTCAATTCGTATGAATGAAATACATACAAAAGTTTACTTTGAGCACGCTCGTATTTCCCCAAAACTCCTGACCACTTTTATTTGCACTAATCATTTTAATTGCATGCATCAACATGCTATTTCTGCATCCTGTTAGTTCAGAGTTATTGTGCCTGTTTGTGCATTTGTGACATGTATCCACATTTATAAGCGGCTATATAGTAAGTGCTCTTCTTTAACCAAACCATAAACTTTCAAGAATAAAATTGGCAAAAGTAGCTCAGGTTTATTTTCATTCTTTTTACATTTGTTTCATGCATAATAAATGCAGAATAATAAGCTGTCAGCATTAATACAAGTTGGAAGTCGAGGTGATTATTCTTCAAGCTTAATTGAAAAATTTTAAAACGAAGCTTAACTTATGGTTCAATTCATTCATTCAGTGCTTTTTTTGTTGATACTTTCCTTTAAAGATAGAAACTCAACTAGACTTAAATGATTTACAAGGGAAGTTTAGTTGAAAGCAACTATCGTGCAATTTATTTGTGTGCTCTGTCAGATTCCTATCATTAGTCCACATACCTTTCTAAAACATAACTGATGTCAGTTCAGAGCAACATAGTCTTTACTTGATCCTATGCGTCAAAACATCCAATCACACTGTGACCTCTGTTTATTAAAACTGATGCACAGTTCTAATGGAGAATCTACTCATCCCGTGTGCTGGAATATTTCAAGATCTGAACACCATGTACATGATGCTCTGTTTGCTTGCGCGTGTGAGAAGGACACCAACTCAGTGATCTGTTTATTAGATGTGACTAATGAGTAATTTGCATCCAATCTGTTGTTGATGCGTTTGCATTTATGCACCTAACTATCACAGTATCAACATGAACTTTTGCTTCTGTATTCTGCTACGTTTGTTTGGGTGTACTTTCCCATCAATCTATGTATATCTTCTGTCAGCCGTGTGTGTGTGTGACAGGGCCAGGCTCGGTGCCACAGAGATTCACCCTGTCAGTTTCCATGTCTCTTCGTCTGTCCCGGCGGCGTCACTCTTCTCCCTCGCTGCACAGATCAAAGAGCTGACACATGCCCCAGTGTCCTTTCTCTTTTCCATCTCTAACTCTCACTTCTTGGCTCTGTCATTCTTGCAATCTTAACCCGCTGTCTTTTTCACTAACCCCCATCTTTCTGTCCTTATATCCAGCTTTCTCCCCGACTATATCAGTGGGGATTTTGATTCCATTACAGCAGAGGTCAAAGCTTTCTATGCAGACAAGGTAAGTGGAACAAAACTTGCACGCACTCTTATACCTACAGGTGTTCATACAGAAGAAGTAGGATTGTAGGGAGAGTCCATAACACATGTTGTAGCATCTGGATGTACAAAGAAAAAAAGGTAGTTGCTTAGAAATTACAGTGGATTAGTCCAAGAAACAAAGGGTAGCATAGTTCAACATCTGGAGCAGCTGGTTTGTCTAAAAAGCCTAGTAAGGTAATTTGTATATGGTAAATGTTAAATGCATTTTTCTTCTTACTGACCACTCAAATCACCACACCCAGCCATTAACACACAGGGAGACATTCAGCAGTTTATTCTGTATTTTAAGCATTGTATCTGTCACTTCTGAAAACAGGCTTGTAGAAGTGAAGATAGAAAGAAATTTATCACTCTGTGAAAAACACTAATGTTCTTAAGAGTAAGAAAAAGAGAAACAAAATCATTTTTCAAGAGTAATGCAAAATTACATAGGCTGTGAAGATCCTCAGCTTAACTACATGATAGTAATCGATTCAGAGAATCTTGAGATCATGCAGGAGACGAGGTCACTGAATGGCTGCGCTTTTGGGCCTGGCATTAGATGTGACAGACGTGATTCTGTAGTGAAAATATCCGATAGGGTTCAGGAACAGCTTCAAAGCCAATTTTCACTGAACACAGTTCGTGCCTGCATCAGATAAACTGAGGCAAAGTGGAAAACCATCCTGTCACCTGGCAAGTCAAAATTTAGAATTCTGCTTGTGCCCCCTGGGCTAAAGAGAGGATCAACCTGCTGGCTTAGTGCACAGCTGAAAGTCTACTCTCTGTGATGATATAGGTGTGCACGACACAGGTGACCTATATTTGAAGGAAAATGTAATCATTTCTATGAGCACTTGCCTCTTAGCATTTATAAATACAAATTTATCTTTGGGTTGAATCTCACACACTCGCATTTACTAAATATTTTCGGAGTCATACATCACATCCCACACAAATGTTTTCAAAATTAACCAGTAGGTGTTCCACACCTCTTGCCCAGTCTCAGTAGCGATAGTCTCCAGTCCCTTCACGACCCTGAATTTGATAACGCTTGGGTCACACAAGCTTGGAGAATGATTTCAGCAATGTCCTGTCTCATGGGAAAAATGTGTATTCCCTGAATGCTTGGAAAGTGACTCTTGGAGATTGTCGACTGTTTCTAGTTGAAATCAGTTGCAAATAGGGTGCTTGTATTTGTTTGGGTCGCTAGCACAATGCCACGGTTAGCCGTAGTCTGCATGGAAAATGCCAACTTGTCTGCAAATACATAAAAACTTAGCACTGAGTAATAGTGAAACTCGAAGAAATGCAACACAAACGTGAAATAGAGCCCGTTTGCCTTCAGAGTAAATATTAGATCTTTTGAAACATGTTGGTTTCAGCAGTAAGAAAAACAATCTAAACTACCAGTTTGCAGTCTTTACAGTTTCACAACCACCTAGCGAATAGTTGCCAAATGTTTGCAGACACATTGGCATTTTTCCAACAGGCTACAGCTGTGCAGCTGGGCAATCTGTTACAGACCTAAACAATCACAGGGAGGTTTTTAGTGCAGCACCGTACACCTCTTTGTTATTAATTCCACGTAGTGACAGCAAACAACTTACTCACCATCCAGTCAGGTAATATACATTTTCCCCTAGCAACCGGTGGTTACCAGGGTCACTGACTGGCCTTTGAGCCTGGATGTGTGGGGCTTATCAAGTGATTTCACTGCAACTACCAGCAACCACTCACAACCATTCAGGGGAACCTCTCAAGTAACCGGTGATTGCAAGGCAGCCAATCAGTCCTAACTGAGGCCTTAACAGTTAAGAGGATGGATTCTTAGATGGAGGAGCATCTTCTTCACTTTTTCAAATTAATCATTGCTAAAAATCAACACTATATTTTAAAAAGTCTTCATTAATCAGTGATCATCAAATATTATAATACTAATGATAAAAAAATCCATACAAAACTACTAGAAACTGGATAAATGCACAAAAATAACATTTGAAAAGGGTTAGCTACACATAAAGATTAAACTTTGGATGAGGATATTGGAGATGGACAAAGCAATCTGCATTTTTTGTAGGTGACTAAGTTTGCAGGTTTAACATAACACGGTCCAGGTACAAGAAAGTGCTTCTCCAGAGTCCCCCTTTGACATTCTTCGTTGTAGCCTTTACTCCCTGTGTACCTCACTGTGCAAGAAATTTGTACATGTAGGCATATTTGGATTCAACTATTCAAGGTCATAAAAATAAAATGCAAATGATTTCATGAAGGGGACTTTCCATTGTTTATAGCAAGCAAAATGTCAACCCACAAGCGCTGTTCAATAAATAATTAATACAGGGCAAGTCAGACATGCATACACACACCCACACCTTAGAGAAAACAAAATACAGTGCCTGTGCGATCTTTGTGCTGTGTCACTTTGATCAGATGCTACTGATGCACACTGTTTACAGTTTGAAATGCAGATTCGGTATCATCACACGTACACACAACACACACATGATTAGGCACCCATCACAGATTATTTGATGTCTTCAGCTGTTTCTCTCTCCTTTTTTCTCTTCTCACGATTTCCCCGGCTCTCTCTGTAGCTATCTGTAATATTAGACCCTTTTCACAAAAATCACACAGGTTGTCTGGAAAAAAAAAGAGAGAAATGCCTTTTTTTGAGGGGGGGTGAGAGAAAAACAGTCTGTTATGGTAATGCCTTTGAAGCAGAAATATGGGAAAATGCGAGCTGTTCCTTCAGAGATTTCTTGCAAACGGTGAATAATTCTGCATAAATGGGAAGGAGAAAACAGAAAAGCATCAGCAAGGGAGGGAGGGAGAGATGGGGGGTAGAGGGTTGGTGGAAGAGGAGGGGAGGAGAGGGAGGATGGATGGGATCAAACAGAGCACATCGAACAAGTTTGTGATATGACTGCGTGTGTGTGTGTGTGTGTGTGTGTGTGTGTGTGTCAGTGAAGTAGCAAAGTCACTGTGTTTTGGAGGAAAGTGACACTGGAGAGAGAGAAAGAGACAGAAGGAAAGTAAGCCGGAGCATGGTTGTTGTAGTTTAGGGCCACTGACTGGAACCTCTACATTATTCAGCAACACAAGCCGAAGACAGCCAGACAACAGTAAAACACTGATTTATACCTCTCTCCATCTCCCTATCGCTTTCAGTTTTTCTGTTATCCCCCTATCCCTTATCTTAGGTATTTGTTACACTATCTATGTTTATGTACATCTGTTGGATTGTGTTTTGTTGCCTGTTTGTTTTTTTGTGATTTTATTTTTAATATATTGATATTTGTGCATGTGTGTAGGGGTGCAAGCTGATAGAAACAGCTGACCAGGATCTTACGGACTACACCAAATGTCTTGCAATCATGGTGGAGGAGATTCAGAAGCGACAGCTACAGGTAAATGCCACACAGCTCATATATGTTTCTGACTTACTTCTGATATTTATGGTTTATATTTTAAAGGAATTCTTTGACATTTTGGAAAACACTTTCTTCTGAATTTATCAAAATGACTGTTAAACTCCAGTCCTATAAGACAGCATAAAGTCCTGGATGCAGGTGGCAAAAGCTTATCCAAATACCCCTAATGCCAAGGTCAAAGTCCGTGTTGGGCAGATGTATTGGGCAGTATTACGGACATAAAATCCTAATCTGTTGTTTGCAGTGATCAGATTAGCAAACTATAGTATTATTTGGTGATTATTTGGCGATAATTGGGCTTGATAGGTACCCCTGTGCTAAAAATATTCATATGAGCATAATGCATATGCTTTAGTCCATATTGCTTCATTAAAGTCACATTTCATCTACATATCACTTTCAGAAACAATTGTTTTTTTTATTTCACTTTATAACAGTTTTTATGACAGTAACTGGCTGCAGATGTAGCACCGGGTAAAAGAAATAAGCAAGGCTCACGTTTCCCTCAGTTTTGTGCCCTTAAGTAAGGCATTCAGTCTTCAGGTACTTAAGATCAGGTGCTCAGAGGTCAGTAGTGTTTTACTGTCAGTTTTCTTGTGGCAAATCCCTGTAGTGAATGCGTGTGGGTGTATGGATATGAAACAATCTCTTTTCCTGAAAAGACCATCCATGCTCACTCAACGTCCCCTGAAGAAATAGCTGCTGAAAAATATCATTGGAATAGCATTACACCTACACAGAAAATGCAAAGTGAGATTTGGCTGTCTTAAAATATGAAATACTTCACTTTTGTTGTGATCTTTTTCAAAGTGTAAAAAGATTTCCCAACAAGCTGATATGCACTACTCTGAAATGAGCTAAACAGGCTGCTCAGCGCCTCATGCCCAGTTTGCTGCTGCAGAGCCAGACACGCAGACAATAACACGATCCAGAGATTCATTCAGTTTCCAGCCTGACTCCCAAAATGCCAACAGAATGTCCATAATGTTAGTAATTTAGTAAACAGCACAGTTTTTAATTTAAAAATGCTAATAGTGATGATTGTTAAGACGAGCACTGTCCTAGAACATTATCTTTTGACGCTGCCTTCCTCTTGACCTTTCTCTGTTTTTTTTTGTCCTTTTAGTAGAATTTTTAACAGCATAATAAGTGTTGCTCCAATCACACACTAGCGCCCCAATCACTTCACATTGCTAAGCTACAGAAACCCATTCATCTCATATTCACATGTTGCCACATTTTTACTCTGTTGCTCACTGCCAGGCTTTAAGAGGAGCTATACTTTTGTCCTTCCTTTCCGTGGGCTCTTTTTTTTCTCCCCCAGCTAATATGTAATCTGCCTTTGAACCGGCACACACTGTTTGTCTGTCTGTTTGCCTGCAAGAGATAGGAGCCTGGCAATCAGTTTTTGGCTCCCTGTAAGAGTTGCTGGTGATGACTTTTTCTGTTTGTTTCCCAAGGCTTTTCCATCTTTCTTTACCCACTATAACTCTTACTTGACCTTTTGTTCTTTTCAGCACTTAGAATAGGCATGGGTTATATAAAATACTTTTTTATGATAGTTTTATACGTATTCTTTTGTTTTCAGATTCACTGATTTTCATTTAATGAATTATATATGTAGATGAAGTAATAACATATGCAGATCACTGGGCATTGTGATGTTTGGGCTTTGAAGAGTCGCCCTATCAGCCCCCGTATGTTTTTCCTCCATACAGCTTAGCACTCAATTGATCTCATATTGTGTTGGTTGAAATCCTCCCTAAAAATTTTTTACCATGGGATTATGCTGGGTAGATTAGTGTTTGTTTACATACATATATATATATATTTATATATGTGTAGTTATGTTTGTGTGTTAGTGCTTTGAAAAGTGTGTATCTCTGTGAATGTGTTTGTGGGCAGCTAGTTCTTCTGTGTGTGAATTCAATTGCTGTTTACATGTGTTCTCCTCTCTAAGAAGCGCACATGTGTATGTGTGTCCCCAAGTCTGATAGGTCTGCTGGTCTGTTTATCCTCTCACAGCTCTGTTTAGTTAGCTCGTTTCTTCTCAATCCCCCATTTCTACTTTCTTTAGTCTTTCTTTGGTTGTTATCCTTAATAAATGGAAGTGGGGTTTTTTTGTGTTTGTTTCTTTTTTTGCTTACTCCTCGTCTCCTAGCCAACCAGTAAAGAGAAGTGACCAAATGTATAAAATCAGCTTGTGAAGTTTTCTTCATTGAGCCATGAGAGTTTCCTTGCTCCGCTTACTGGTTTGTTTTTAGTAAACAAACATGAAATATGAACAAATAAAAATTCATACAGTTGTGTAGTCTTTGATATGCGTAGCTGCCACAACAGAAGTGATGATGGAAAGCGAAGATTGAGCAAGCCGGTGTGTCATTGGACGTTGAAACACAATACAGTGTTTTGTTTCTTTCATCCTCTTCTCATTGTTCTGCATTCTTTTTTCAGTATTTGTTATTTTTTTAAGATTCCGTGTCCTGTATTTTTGTCACAGTGTCAAGAATTTAGAACTAACCCTGATTTTGTCAGAGCACTCTTGTACATAACAATTATAAAGGCATGTGTTCTTACTAAGCTATAATACGGGTATGGAGGACATCACAGATGAATTTGGGGCTTTACTGTTGCAGGTAAGAGGTCACACTTAAATAAGAAAATACATAAGTGTTCTGTGGATTTATTATTGAATAATAATTTGCACTAAAAGTGACAGGTGGTAATGACAGATTGTCTCACATCTCCAAATCCCCTTACTTTGTCCTGCAGACCTCCACTGTTGTTCAAAAACACACGTGCTCTTTGGCCACCTTGTCAGATACACCTAATTACACATTGCAGAAACTCTATGCATTTAGGTAAAGACTGAAGTTGCTGAAGTTGAAACCGAGCATCAGAATGGGGAGGAAACAGGCTGGTCTGTGTATTTCATAGAAACTGCTGATCTACTGGGATTTTGCAGAGAATAGGGTGAAAGAGAGAAAATATCCAGTGAGCAGCAGTTCTCTGAGTGAAAATGCCTTATTGATGCCAGAGGTCAGAGGAGAATATCCAGACTGCTAGAAGTTGATATTAAGGCAACAGTAACTCAAATAACCACTTTCTAAAAGATATGCAGAAGCACATCTACGAATGCAAAACACATCTAACTTTGAAGGAAATCAGCTACAACAGCAGGTACCATTCTAAAACCCTGAATTAAGGCAGTTCTACAGGCAAAAGCGGGCCTAACCCGGTACTACCATGGTATACCTTGGTCATTGAGTGTAGATGATCCACTCTGACACACAGGTTGACATGGGCATAGTGCTATAAAACATTAAATGTGTAGGCTATTGGTATGTAGATAAAAACAGCCCTTTTTTGACTCTGGTTTGAGTAACGGTTGCTAAAAGCTAACTTGCTCAGCAGTTTCATTCTTGCGATATGTTAACACAAAGAAAAATCACAGAGTAACAATATCTGTATCATGTTAAGAGTGGAGTTTGTTTACCAAGTGTTGTTAACAGTTAGGTGATGTCTCTGCATGTGGGGGCGTCTGCCAGATGTTGAAATAACCTCAATCTCAGCACTTTGTTTTGTTTTAACTGCAACTCCTGAGGGAGAAAGTCAGTTATGACATATTTGGTTTGGCAATTTGTGCTCCTGTTATGAACTAAAGCACAAGTTATGGCTTAGTTCCTTTAAGTGATGAAGAACATTGAATACACTGAAGTAATAGTGCACTGTTGTCAAGTAAACAAGGTAATAAAAAAGGCCTTTTTGGCTGACAAAGGCACACTGCAGTAGTTTTCTGCAGTGTAATTACAAATGGGCAAAGCATGCACGCACATAGGGCTGTGCGATATGACCAAAATCTCATAT